GGTGATGACGGACACGTGGCCTTAGGCAAACGAGTCAGGGTTTCCTAAATTTCCCCAAAATAAAATATTTAGGTGGCGACTCTGTATCTGGCAAAGCAGTCCATGTTTGGCACTTCTTTTCTAAAAATCTGTTTTCTCAAAACGATTTGCCGGATTTGGACTCTTTGGTTCATATTAAGAACCGTGACAATTTGAGAGTCCTGAGCTGTAGTGACCCCAAATGAACAGAACGGGAGCTCACCCTCCCGGGGCGTTCGGGGACGTCTACAAGCCTTGTTCGATTTCATTTTTGTAAGTACAATCTTCACTTCAAAGTTCCTAATCCTGCAACAGAACCTGTAATCTTGGTATTTCTTATTACTGGCAACTTCCTGCACTTTTGACCTTCTTCCATGTTCCTCATTTAATAACTTCTCAAAATAGTTCTTCTACATCCTCCTTAATCTCTTCATCCTTCACCAACATCTTAGAGTCCTTACTCTTGATGTACTTAACTTGATTAAAATCTCTTGTTTTTCTCTTTCTCATTTTAGCAAGTTTGTCTATTTTCTGCTCTCCTTCCTTACTATCTAGTCTAGTGTGTAGGTTATCATAGGCTTTCAATTTAGCCTCTCTTACTACTTTTTTGACCACCTTATTAGCCAATCTATAGCTCTTATGATTTTCTTGAGTTGTATCCTTTTGTCACCTTTTAAACACTTTTTTTTTTTCATTTTTACTACCACTTGAACCTCATCCATCCACCACCAAGTTTTTCTTAGAGTTGGGTCCCTTCCCTTTCAAATTTCCAAGGACTTCCCTTCAGATTCTCCCGATACAATTAGCCATCGAGTTTCACATAGTGTTAGCATCATCTTTCAAGTCCCAAGTACCTTCTTCATCTATTATATTCTTAAATATTTCTAGTTTATCTCCTTTTAGGTCCCACCATCCCGTCCTACAACGCCCACTATCCTTCCTAGCTTGGTGTTTCCCTTTAAAGCATAAATCTAGTATATATGTCAAGCTCTCTTCAGGAATCACCTTACAGTCGTTGCATTTAGACGGTCTACTTTTCTCACTAGAAATTAATCTATTTGGCTCCTAATTGACCTACTCTTAAAGGTAATCAAATGCTCATCTCTCTTCTTATACATAGTATTGGCCATCACCAGGTCAGAAGCTAACACAAAATCTAAAATCCAACCTTATTTCTATCACCAAAACCATACCTACCATGCATCCTCTCATAACCTAGTTTATTTATTCATACATGGTCGTTGAAATCTCCATCTATGACAAGGTTCTCTCCTACGGGTATCTCCTGTAATACCTTATCCATTTGGTCTTAAAAATCTTTCTTAGTCTGATCATCTAATTCTATTTGGGGGCATATGCACTAATCATCCAACATTAATAAATTCCCCATGGACTACATCAACAAAATAGGGCATAGTCCTTACAGATAAGGCGCTTAGCCATATAAAATAAGGTTGTAGGCCATCAACCATCAACAAGGGATAAACAAAAGTCTAGTTGAGAATGCCTCGACTCCAACTATATGAATCCAAGTCAAGTGTGCCTCTAATAGTACCACTGCTCATGAGCATTGGGGCACATGGGATTTTCTCTCTATTGCCTTGTTCTAGTGACGATAATCCAAGTGGGTGACTTATTAATAAACCAGTGAAAGTTTCTCTCCACAATCAATGTGAGACTTGCCTTTTTATATTACAACATATCTACTTTGAAACCTCAAGGCATAACATATGAGAGGGTTCAGAAGGAGAATGATCCAATTTTGGAAGAAACAAAGAATTGTAGAACATGGATATAATAAATATGTTTTCTAGAAGTGTTTTGAAAACCAAAACTAATCAAACTAATAAGAGAGTGAATAAAGAAGTGCAGATAGAAGATAATAGTACAATGCTTTGAAAAGAATACCAGAAAATGTTGGGAGGGAAAAAAACAGAAAGCGTTGAAAAAAATTGAAGCAAATAATAAATGCTTATGAAGAGGGATCACAGGAAATGGGAGGTGGAGATAAACGATCTTGCTGCTCAACTCGGTGAATAATCCACATTGCACTATATATTCTCTTTCAAGAGAGTTTGAAGAAAATTGCCAAAAATTGGGGAAAGAGAATAATGATTTGGTTGCGAAAATCAATCTGATAACAACTTCAAAACAAACGAAGTTCTTTAGATAACTAATTTTGATTTGAATTGATTTTGAAAATCAAATCAGTTCACCTAATAACAACAATTATCATAGAATTTGAACCAAAATCAAATAGAGTTTGATTTTCAAGGCATAGAATTCACCTAATAACAAATTTAAATATAGAAAAAGAAAAAAAAGGGGGGGGGGGGGGGGGGAAGGTGGGGGGGGAGGGAAGGGCTTGGTTATAAGGAAAGAGTTTGATTTTCAAGGCAGAGAATTTGATTTTGGAATTATTTTGAACTGATTTTGACTCTAAAAATGGTTACAAAAGAGCTAAAGTGACTTAAAACTTCATCCAGATCTAAATAAATAAATATGAAATTCAAGATTTGCATAGTGAATATGGATGCCTCAAATATGAATATTGGTAAGAGGATTGAGTTGAGAATTATAGCCATAGTTTGATTGGTAAAATGCATGATTTATGTTGCACTATTTTATATTTGTTATGTTCGTTATTGACACGATAAAATAAAAATAAAAAAACAAGGAAATGCATACCACCCAGCTTTAGAAGTTCACATTTACATACATCTTCCATAAATTGCTTCTAAATTACTACAACATACATATCGGGAATGCCTGTATCTAAAAATTTTATTCAAACATATATACAATAGAAAAAAATGTAAAAAAATAAAAATAAAAATAAAACTAAAGATTAAATTACAGTTTTTAATGTATTTGTAAACTCCTCATTTTGATTGACCCTAAGATTTTGGGGACTTGCAAGCTTCTCGATTATGAAATGGTATTTACTTCATTCTTAGAAGTATTTGAGGTTGTTTAAAATTGTTGTATTATCCTATTTTAGCCAAAAATCATATTTTTGTAAAAATGACCACTTTACTCTTGAACCTGTTTTCAACCAAAACTCAACTCCTTGGTCATGAGGGAGAAAGGGAAGCCCGATTGCACTTTAATTGATTATATTTTTTGAAATTTGTGAATTGTTATATCAAAAACATTGATTAAGATGCAATCCGAACTTGGGCCACAAGTAAGCCAAAGGCATGAAACCTCGCACCTAGGCATGCAAGTTGACACTTGGACCTCCTAGTGGCATGTGCACTCACACGTGCGTTGTGCGGCTGCAACTTCCTCGCGCAGTCACACAAGCTAGGTATGGTTGCACCTTCCTCGGACATACAAAATTCTATTTCCAGCAAGGTTTTAAGTGCGATTTTGAAGGGAGGCGCATAGGGGAAGCGATGCTCAACCCTAGTATGCCCCTTTTAGTTTGTTTCCCAAGTCCTCTAAGCCTATACATATAGCCCCTACCCCCCATTGCAAAGGTCAAACTTTTGAGCAAATTTGTGAGCTTTTTGAGTGAAAAACCATTGCATATTCTCGCCGTAAACTCTAGCTTCGAAAATTAACACACCCGCAACAACTTTTAATAACTAAATATCATCTAAGGCTTGAATAACTTGGACTTAATTAGTACCTAAGCCTGAGAGAGGCTTGCAAGCAAGGAAAACACAGCGTTTCTTCTCGAGTTCTTCAGTTTTCTCAAACCAGCAGGTAAACACTCTTTATTTTAATTATTTTAGTACCACTTTTAGCGTATTTTTAGTATGTAATCATGTAGGATTGTTAGTATGGCATGAGCATCTTGTAGTTTATCTATTTTGTTAAGTATTTTTGCCTACTTTTGCATATTTTGTTTATTTTATTTAAACATGTTTAGGCTAGATTAATCATGTAATATTCATGCACATAGCCCGGTTTGATCATCATGTATTAAGGTTTTAGAAACTAAACTTTAGGGACAAAATTATTTTTTAGGGACCAAATATTTTTGTTGCGAAAAGTGTCATTATTATATTTTTAGCAACGAAAATTGGACATTAGTGATGAATTATTATCTTTTTTAGACCAAATTTGTTTGTCCCTAAAAGTGTATTTATTGGTGACATTTTCAAAATTTTGTCACTAAAAGCCTTATTTTTGACTTTTCGGGACGACCTTTTAGTAACTATCCTCACGATGATAGAAATTGGTCGCTAAATGTCTTTTGCAATAAAATTTTCACTTTTAGAGACCAAAAAATTTTATCTCTAAAACTTTTATATGTTGTAGTGAATATTCAGTATATTTTTTCTTTTTTATTTGTTAGTTGCTCTTTGTGCATTTACATCATATTAGTAGCCTCAAATCGGGCTTAGGCTAATGTTTGAATGATTTGTTGTATATTATGGTTCATATTTATTTTATGCAATGCATGTAAGACACTTGCGAGGGAATTCGAGTAAGTTCATTGTTTTTCATACACATGTTCTTGGTTGCATTGTTTTTTAATAAATCAAGTTAAGTGCTTTTCCATGCGAAATTGGATGTTTTGAGTGTTTTTATAAATATTGTTTTATCTTAGTATATGTTTATGGCCATGATAAAATAAAACTCTCTTTTTATTGAAAAATATCATTTTAATGGAAAACATGGCTTTATTCATTGTATCTAAAGTAAATGGTGTTTATTTTATTCAAACCACCTAGTTTTAGGATTGGTAAAGGTTTTAGAGTTAATAATAGATTTTATATGAAATAATTAATCATTAAAATCATAAAATAGAATATTAGTAGAAGCCAATCTTCAGATTAAGCAAAATGGGTGCATCATTCAATGACCTTCTCCTTTTGTACCTTAGTTCCCAAACCTTGAATTCTTTGGTTATGATGAATTAGGTCTTCTGCTTAGTTTTCATTGTTGAAGATTTCTTAATTCTCCTTAAAATTAAATGGTGACTCTATCGGTGTGAGAAAACAAGTTAGTATAACAATAGTGTGAAAAGGCACCTTATACATGACGTCCACAATATTTAGTTCATATCGTCAACTTAAACAACTATTAATATTTTTCTGTCGGTGTTTATCTTCTTCTTCTTCTTCTCTTTTCTTTTTTAATTTTTACATTTTCCCATTCAATATAAGCCACATGCAGCATCAAATGTTTGTAAGCACCGGGCTAAGGGAAGTGATTGATGAAAGTGATGATAAAAAAAGCCTAATGATTATTTTTTGGCAATGTTGCCGAGGAAAGATCCACTCTTTGTTATCTCGCGGAGTGGTTTGTCTGTCAATCGAATCAAATTATATGCAAAACCTCCTACAATGGTTCCCAAGAGAGGTCCAACTACATATATCCATAGTCCAGTGTATTTTTGCATGATAAGAGCTGGTCCTATGCTTCTTGCAGGATTCATTGACCCCCCGGATACTGGGCTGCAACCAACACAAAATCATATTATAAGAAAATAAAAAGAAAATTAATGCTCCGTTTGTTTTGGTTGAAAACGTTTTCCTAAGAAAACAAATTGAAAAAATTTATGTAGAAAACCTGCGTTTCCTATGTTTGCAATCTTGAAACTATATCATGCAAGTAGTTGTATTAGAGGTGATGGTAGTGGTGATGAGGAGTGGTGATGGTGGGCATGGTAGGTGCAGTGGCATTGGCAAAATTTTACATCAAAAAATGTTTTCAAATGTGAAAAATATTTTCCATCCAAATAAACTTGCTTTCCGCTAATTATGAAAAATCTTTTCGATTAACATTTGTTTTTCATAATATCAAATACTAGAAAATACTGAAAGTGTTTTGTTTTTCAAAATATTTTTATGTCAAAACAAGCGGAGCTTAAGTATTTACAAATGCATTTGACAAGTTTAGAGTATCGTGGTAAGGTTGTAATTAATTACCCAGCTATGAAAACATTGAGAAGTATTGTCATTCCAATGGCAATTCCAGCTAATTCTCCAATCTACAAGAAACAAAATCAAATGCTTTCTTGCATATGGACCAATATTGTCTAAAAGAATATGTTGCATTTCTCAATTATGAGAAACTGAAGCAAATATAGGCTTATTAGATAAAAACATAAACTTTTGTCAGAAATTTTTCCTTCTGTTTTAGAAAACACATAAAACTTGTTTGGAAAATTGTTTTTGAAACTATTTTTTGGAAAATAATTCACTTTTAAGAAACACCAAAAAATTGTTTACAAAAACTTTTGCCACACAAAAATAAAAACATTATATGTTTTTGAATTTTCATTTTTATTTTTTGAAAATACGAAAAACGAAAAATGATAACTAAAAGACAACCAAATAGGCTCGGTTTCTAGTTCACATAAAAACGCTAAATTAGGTGAAAATGTTACAAATATTTGAAAATAAAAAACTTAAAACATATAATAGATGTATCTAGAAAATTATCTAGTTTCATCCTTGTTAACATATGTTAGGAATATTGAACCATCTATATTATGAATAGACGTGATTAGCTCTAGTTTATGTAATTAGCTCTATTTTAGATCATTTTCATATTTTTGTATTTTGGTGGCCACTCTACCCTTGTCTATATAATAGATCTTCTCCATTAAACAAAGGAACATATCAAATATATCTTTATCTTATTTTCTTATAATCTACGTGGTATCAGAGCCACTTATACACATATCCTGAATTATCAATTAAGCTTCCACTTCACTGCTTGACCCCTTTGTACCACAACACAAAAACGATAAACCCAAAACAGCAACCTAAACAAATCTAGAGATTAGATCTGGAAAGGAGAAAGAGGAAAACTAAAGGGGGCTCAAGTTATTTGGGAGAAAACCCAAGAGCACAAGAAGAAAAGATAGGCCAGCCAACCGCTCACTCTCTTTTTATGATTCACCAATAGCCTACCAATTTTCATAGTCATAACTGTCACTATCACTGGCATCTTATCACAACCAGTCAGATCCATATATTTTTCTAGCCTCTTTTCACATGGTCTCGCTCTAATGTATTTTTAGATTCCCTTATCGGTGGAAGAGGACTAGTTCAATCCTTTATGTCCATCCTCGTCTCTAATTAGTGAAAGAAGTCATATTTGGACCTTAATGTTTTGTTAGGTCTTCAATTGGAGGAAGAAATCCTATTTGGTGGCCTAAGAAATCCTATTTGGTGGCCTATAGCGACTCAGGTTTTTAACTTGTATTTTATTTGGTAATTGTCATGTACTATTCATTATTTTTTTTTTTTGGGATCCTTTTTGGGTGTGTGTTTATTGTTGATTTTCATTCTGGAGATGGCTAGCATTGTGCTGAATCTTATTTATTGTTTGAATAATTTTGTAATTGATATTTGAACTTAAAAATTCAAAATTCAAGTTTAGCACCATTCTTGAAAGAGGGACACCCTACCAGGGTGCTCTCATGTGCAGCAGTAGTAGTCCACACGTGTGGATTAGTGTAGCAAAGAGTGAGTTGATGGGCACATACGGTGTGTCTAGGTTGAGCTGTAACGTGGCAATACCTAGATCACCTCTTTTCTTTTCTTCTCTTTCTTTCCTTTCTTTCTCTTTTCTTTCTTCTTTCTTTTCTTTTTTGCACTTTCTCTTTATATATATATATATTGAGAGGGTAATTTATAAATAAATTGGGCCGAGCTAAGAAAGAGGCTTCTTTAGAAGTTGGGCCGCACGTCGGACCGAGGTATGAGCTGTTGTAGCTCGGTCTAAACACTAACGAGCTTGGGCTAGGACAACTTTGGGCCGAGCTGTGGGTCGAGGTGTTTGGGCTTCACAAATTGGACCTCAACCTTGTTAGCTCGGTTGGGGCTGCTGCGGTTAGCTCGGTCTAAACAGCCAAACCGAGGTATAAGAGAATAGGGACTGAGCTAGGCGTTGCATATGAAAGCACCAGATTGAGTATGTTAAAGGGCCTAGTGTTAGCTCTGTCATACTGTTATTAAACCGTGGTAAAACCATCTCACTTGGTTTAAGCAGTGAGGAGGGTGTTGAAGGATAAATATTATCTTTCAGGAGTATGATACCTAGGAGGACTCTATATTGAGGAATAAGAGTCCTACTAGGATTGTGTCAGGCAAAAACTATAAAAGCTCACAACATAACTTATGTAGATGTATCCCAATTCTTACTCTAGAATACATAGAGCTTTTGTCTATTGTCTATTTGCTGACTTAGGCATCGGAGGGGTTTCTGGCACACACCTGCCAGCTAGCTCACGTTTGTGTTTTCAGGAAGTAGAGCGACAACGTTTGAAGGAGCGCAAACTTAATCAACAGGATCATACGAGAAGAATTATTTCGTGCTCGTACAATTGGCGTCGTCTGTAGGAAGACCAGAAAGAACAAAACCTCTTGATCCAATTTTCCTCTCCAGCTGAAACCAATGGCGCACAAATGAGGATTTGCTGCAACCTGCTATCGACGGAGAAACTTTCTAGCCTCTTTTCACATGGTCTCGCTCTAATGTATTTTTAGATTCCCTTATCGGTGGAAGAGGACTAGTTCAATCCTTTATGTCCATCCTTGTCTCTAATTAGTGAAAGAAGTCATATTTGGACCTTAATGTTTTGTTAGGTCTTCAATTGGAGGAAGAAATCCTATTTGGTGGCCTAAGAAATCCTATTTGGTGGCCTATAGCGACTCAAGTTTTTAACTTGTATTTTATTTGGTAATTGTCATGTACTATTCATTATTTTTTTTTTTGGGATCCTTTTTGGGTGTGTGTTTATTGTTGATTTTCATTCTCGAGATGGCTAGCATTGTGCTGAATCTTATTTATTGTTTGAATAATTTTGTAATTGATATTTGAACTTAAAAATTCAAAATTCAAGTTTAGAACCATTCTTGAAAGAGGGACACCCTACCAGGGTGCTCTCATGTGCAGCAGTAGTAGTCCACACGTGTGGATTAGTGTAGCAAAAAGTGAGTTGATGGGCACATACGGTGTGTCTAGGTTGAGCTGTAACGTGGCAATACCTAGATCACCTCTTTTCTTTTCTTCTCTTTCTTTCCTTTCTTTCTCTTTTCTTTCTTCTTTCTTTTCTTTTCTTCTTTTCTTCTTTTCATATATATATATATTGAGAGGGTAATTTATAAATAAATTGGGCCGAGCTAAGAAAGAGGCTTCTTTAGAAGTTGGGCCGCACGTCGAACCGAGGTATGAGCTGTTGTAGCTCGGTCTAAACACTAACGAGCTTGGGCCAGGAGAACTTTGGGCCGAGCTATGGGTCGAGGTGTTTGGGCTTCACAAATTGGACCTCAACCTTGTTAGCTTGGTTGGGGCTGCTGCGGTTAGCTCGGTCTAAACAGCCAAATCGAGGTATAAGAGAATAGGGACTGAGCTAGGCGTTGCATATGAAAGCACCAGATTGAGTATGTTAAAGGGCCTAGTGTTAGCTCTGTCATACTGTTATTCAACCGTGGTAAAACCATCTCACTTGGTTTAAGCAGTGAGGAGGGTGTTGAAGGATAAACATTATCTTTCAGGAGTGTGATACCTAGGAGGACTCTATATTGAGGAATAAGAGTCCTACTAGGATTGTATCAGGCAAAAACTATAAAAGCTCACAACATAACTTATGTAGATGTATCCCAATTCTTACTCTAGAATACATAGAGCTTTTGTCTATTGTCTATTTGCTGACTTAGGCATCGGAGGGGTTTCCGGCACACACCTGCCAGCTAGCTCACGTTTGTGTTTTCAAGAAGTAGAGCGACGACGTTTGAAGGAGCGCAAACTTAATCAACAGGATCATACGAGCAGAATTATTTCGTGCTCGTACAATTGGCATCGTCTGTAGGAAGACCAGAAAGAACAAAACCTCTTGATCCAATTTTCCTCTCCAACTGAAACCAATGGCGCACAAATGAGGATTTGCTGCAATCTGCTATCGACGGAGAAACCCTAGAAGGGTGTGGAAGGCGCGAAGGTTTAGCTTCTATCCCACCCATGGCGGATTTAGAACCCCAGCAACGGAACTCCCGGAGGGACACAAGGAAGAGACGGGGCACTAGCCCCTATCGCTCTCAAAGTCCTGAAAGATAGAGGTGGAGGCTGGACCCTCAAGTTCTGGAGGACCGCGTGAGGGAACAAGACAAACTAATAAAGAAGATGGCGGTAGACATGGAGACAATGAAGCGCCAGATAAAAGGAAAAAAGGTGGCAACAGAAGAGGGGCGCAAAGGCAACACACCCCCTCGCCACTCGGATGGTCGTAACAGGCATACCACGCCATCACAAGCAGAAAGCAAGAGCCTTAAAACAAGCGATACTCAATCAAGGACTTCCAGGACTCATTACTCCAGGTCTGAGAGAACGAGGACTGAGAAGTCGTATATGTCGGGAAGCACTTATCGGCCCTTGCACATGCATCAGACGACATCAAGGCACTCGGAGTTGCCTAGATCTACAGACCTACGAACAGTGCTGGAGGAGAGGGCCCGATAGAAGGAAGACACTAGGGCTTGCGACTCTCGCAGAGTTTCAGCCCTACAGCGATTGGCCCCTAGGACACACGGGAGTGTCGAGGTAGGGATGCCAATGTCGCACCTTGCTTACGAACTAGCTGATAAGGTACTAGCAAGGTTACAGAGCTCGCCGTTCGTTCCGGCAATAGAGAACACGCCACTACCTTCAGGCTTCTACCAACCCAAATTCACTGCTTATGAGAGGAAGACGGACCCATACATGCTCTTAAACCACTTTCGCCAGGTTATGGCAGTATACCGGTGAAACGGGGCCCTAATGTGCATCTTGTTCCCATCTAGCCTTGGTGATCTAGGTCTAACCTGGTTTGAAAAGCTACCAAAAGGCAGCATTGCCTCATGGGCACAACTAGCAGAGGCGTTCGTGACTAGATTTAGAACGAACACCAAGACTGGTGGAGATCGATCAATTACTCTCCATTGACATGGGCGAAAACGAAACATTGAGGTCTTACAATAGTCGCTATTGGGAGACCTTCAA